AGAGTGCACAGTGATGAAGGTAGTGAAGGTGGAGGAGGTGGAGGTGGTGGAGGTGGTAGTGAAGGTGAAGGTGGAGGAGTAGGCAGAGTGCACAGTGATGCTGACGACTGCCGCTGGATGCGAAGTCCACGGGGGGCGAGGTGCAGCCACCTGGTCACGCGACCCTCCCCCTCTCGTAACGTCACGTGACCTCGTAACATCACGTGACCTCGTAACACCACGTGACCTCGTAACATCACGTGACCTCGTAACACCACGTGACCTCGTAAAATCACGTGACCTCATAACGCGCCGTGACCTCATAACGCGCCATGACCTCGTAACATCACGTGACCTCGTAATACCACGTGACCTCACAACATCACGTGACCTCACATCACGTGACCTCGTAACATCACGTGACCTCACATCACGTGACTTCATAACGCGCCGTGACCTCGTAAAATCACGTGACCTCATAACGCGCCGTGACCTCATAACGCGCCATGACCTCGTAACATCACGTGACCTCACATCACGTGACCTCGTAACATCACGTGACCTCACATCACGTGACTTCATAACGCGCCGTGACCTCGTAAAATCACGTGACCTCATAACATCACGTGACCTCGTAGCGTCGCGTGACCTCGTAACATCACGTGACCTCGTAACATCACGTGACCTCATAATACCACGTGACCTCACAACATCACGTGACCTCACATCACGTGACCTCACAACATCACGTGACCTCACATCACGTGACCTCATAACATCACGTGACCTCATAACGCGCCGTGACCTCGTAACACCACGTGACCTCGTAACATCACGTGACCTCGTAACACCACGTGACCTCGTAACATCACGTGACCTCGTAACATCACGTGACCTCGTAACATCACGTGACCTCGTAACACCACGTGACCTCGTAACACCACGTGACCTCGTAACATCACGTGACCTCGTAGCGTCACGTGACCTCGTAACATCACGTGACCTCACATCACGTGACCTCATAACGCGCCATGACCTCATAACATCACGTGACCTCATAACGCGCCGTGACCTCATACCACGTAGTGATAAAGACAAACGTCCCCCGGGTAGCCTTGCCAAGCTGTCGGGGCAAGTGCTGCCCATGCAGGGGGGAGGGGGGGGGGCTGGCAACCACCACGCCCGGCCGCCTTTGTCTCCCCAGTAGTCGCCACCAGCGCCAACCACAGCGCCACCGCTCCCCAAAGTCAAAGGTCCCCTGGGTAGCCTCGACGGACTGCTCGGGCAAGGGGCTGTTAGCGAGCACACGAGGGGGTGGGTGTCTCTCCCAGAGTGGCGATGTTTTTAGTTTGCTTTACACACCCGTTTGAGGCCGAGTCGACCTGGGGGAGTCCCAGAGAGGGGGTGAGACGAGTGGGTGGGTGTGTGGGGAAGGGTGAGTGGACGACTGAGCGAGTGAGTGGGTGAGTGGGTGGGTGAGTGGATGGGTGGGTGAGTGGGTGACTGAGTCAGTGACTGAGTGAGTGAGTGGGTGAGTGAGTGGGTGGGTGAGTGAGTGGGTGACTGAGTGAGTGGGTGACTGAGTGGGTGGGTGGGTGAGTGAGCGAGTGGGTGGGTGAGTGGGTGAGTGAGTGGGTGAGTGACTGAGTGGGTGAGTGACTGAGTGGGTGAGTGGGTGAGTGACTGAGTAGGTGACTGAGTAGGTGACTGAGTGGGTGAGTGGTGAGTGGATGAGTGGTGAGTGGATGAGTGAGTGGGTGAGTGGTGAGTGAGTGGGTGAGTGGTGAGCTGGTGAGTGGTGAGTGGGTGAGCTGGTGAGCGACTGAGTGACTGAGTGACTGAGTGAGTGAGTAGGTGAGCGACTGAGTGACTGAGTGGGTGAGTGAGTGGGTGAGTAGGTGAGCGACTTAGTGCGTGAGTGGGTGAGTGACTGAGTGGATGAGTGAGTGGGTGACTGAGTGGGTGAGTGGGTGAGTGAGTGACTGAGTAGGTGACTGAGTGGGTGAGTGAGTGGGTGAGTGAGTGAGTGGGTGAGTGAGTGAGTGGGTGAGTGGGTGAGTAGGTGAGTGACTTAGTGCGTGAGTGGGTGAGTGACTGAGTGGATGAGTGGGTGAGTGGGTGGGTGAGTGGATGGGTGGGTGAGTGGGTGACTGAGTGAGTGACTGAGTGAGTGAGTGGGTGAGTGAGTGGGTGACTGAGTGAGTGGGTGACTGAGTGAGTGGGTGACTGAGTGGGTGGGTGGGTGAGTGAGCGAGTGGGTGAGCGAGTGGGTGAGTGAGTGGGTGAGTGAGTGGGTGAGTGAGTGACTGAGTGGGTGAGTGACTGAGTGGGTGAGTGGGTGAGTGACTGAGTAGGTGACTGTGTAGGTGACTGAGTGGGTGAGTGGTGAGTGGATGAGTGGTGAGTGGATGAGTGAGTGGGTGAGTGGTGAGTGAGTGGGTGAGTGGTGAGCTGGTGAGTGGTGAGTGGGTGAGCTGGAGAGCGACTGAGTGACTGAGTGACTGAGTGAGTGAGTAGGTGAGCGACTGAGTGACTGAGTGGGTGAGTGAGTGGGTGAGTAGGTGAGCGACTTAGTGCGTGAGTGGGTGAGTGACTGAGTGGATGAGTGAGTGGGTGACTGAGTGGGTGAGTGGGTGAGTGAGTGACTGAGTAGGTGACTGAGTGGGTGAGTGAGTGGGTGAGTGAGTGAGTGGGTGAGTGAGTGAGTGGGTGAGTGGGTGAGTAGGTGAGTGACTTAGTGCGTGAGTGGGTGAGTGACTGAGTGGATGAGTGGGTGAGTGGGTGGGTGAGTGGATGGGTGGGTGACTGAGTGAGTGGGTGACTGAGTGAGTGGGTGACTGAGTGGGTGGGTGGGTGAGTGAGCGAGTGGGTGAGCGAGTGGGTGAGTGAGTGGGTGAGTGAGTGACTGAATGGGTGAGTGGTGAGTGGGTGAGTGGTGAGTGGATGAGTGAGTGGGTGAGTGGTGAGTGGTGAGCTGGTGAGTGGTGAGTGGATGAGTGAGTGGGTGAGCTGGTGAGCGACTGAGTGACTGAGTGAGTGAGTAGGTGAGCGACTGAGTGACTGAGTGGGTGAGTGAGTGGGTGAGTGAGTGGGTGAGTGAGTGAGTGAGTGGGTGAGTGAGTGGGTGAGTGAGTGAGTGGGTGAGTGAGTGAGTGGGTGAGTGAGTGACTGAGTGGGTGAGTGAGTGGGTGAGTGGGTGAGTGAGTGGGTGAGTGAGTGACTGAGTGAGTGGGTGACTGAGTGACTGAGTGGGTGAGTGAGTGACTGAGTGACTGAGTGAGTGGGTGACTGAGTGACTGAGTGGGTGAGTGAGTGGGTGAGCGACTGAGTGGGTGAGTGACTGAGTGAGTGACTGAGTAGGTGACTGAGTGAGTGGTGAGTAGGTGAGTGAGTAGGTGAGTGCGTGGTGAGTGGGTGAGTAGGTGAGTAGGTGAGTAGGTGAGTGACTGAGTGGGTGAGTGACTGAGTGGGTGAGTGACTGAGTGGGTGAGTGACTGAGTGGGTGAGTGACTGAGTAGGTGACTGAGTGACTGAGTGAGTGAGTGACTGAGTGAGTGAGTGGTGAGTGGGTGAGTGACTGAGTAGGTGACCGAGTAGGTGACTGAGTGACTGAGTGAGTGGGTGAGTGGGTGACTGAGTGACTGAGTGGGTGAGTGACTGAGTGGGTGAGTGAGTGAGTGACTGAGTGACTGAGTGGGTGAGTAGGTGAGTGACTGAGTGGGTGAGTGACTGAGTGAGTGGGTGACTGAGTGAGTGGGTGACTGAGTGAGTGGGTGACTGAGTGAGTGGGTGACTGAGTGAGTGGGTGACTGAGTGAGTGGGTGACTGGGTGAGTGAGTGACTGAGTGAGTGAGTGGGTGAGTGACTGAGTGAGTGGGTGACTGAGTGAGTAGGTGACTGAGTGAGTGAGTGACTGAGTGAGTGAGTGGGTGAGTGACTGAGTGGGTGAGTGACTGAGTGACTGAGTGAGTGGGTGACTGAGTGAGTGACCGAGTGGGTGAGTGACTGAGTGACTGAGTGAGTGGGTGACTGGATGAGTGAGTGGGTGAGCTGGTGAGCGACTGAGTGACTGAGTGGTGAGTAGGTGGGTGACTGAGTGGGTGACTGAGTGAGTTGGTGGGTGACTGAGTGACTGAGTGAGTGAGTAGGTGAGCGACTGAGTGACTGAGTGAGTGACTGAGTGACTGAGTGGTGAGTGAGTGGTGAGTAGGTGGGTGACTGAGTGAGTGACTGAGTGAGTGAGTGACTGAGTGAGTGAGTGACTGAGTGACTGAGTGGGTGAGTGACTGAGTGGCTGACTGAGAGGGTGAGTGACTGAGTGGGTGACTGAGTGGGTGACTGAGTGAGTGAGTGGGTGAGCGACTGAGTGACTGAGTGGGTGAGTGTTGAGTAGGTGGGTGACTGAGTGGGTGACTGAGTGAGTGGTGACTGAGTGAGTGGGTGACTGAGTGAGTGGGTGAGTGACTGAGTGAGTGACCGAGTGGGTGAGTGAGTGGGTGAGTGACTGAGTGGGTGAGTGACTGAGTGGGTGACTGAGTGGGTGACTGAGTGAGTGGGTGACTGAGTGAGTGGTGAGTGAGTTGGTGGGTGACTGACTGAGTGAGTGAGTAAGTGGTGAGTGGGTGAGTGGTGAGTGACTGAGTGGGTGACTGAGTGAGTTGGTGAGCTGGTGAGTGACTGAGTGGGTGACTGAGTGAGTGAGTGGGTGAGTGGATGAGTGAGTGGGTGAGCTGGTGAGCGACTGAGTGACTGAGTGGATGAGTGGTGAGTAGTGAGTAGGTGGGTGACTGAGTGACTGAGTGAGTGGGTGACTGAGTGGGTGAGTGACTGAGTGGGTGACTGAGTGAGTGAGTGGGTGACTGAGTGGGTGAGTGACTGAGTGAGTGGGTGAGTGACTGAGTGGGTGAGTGAGTGGGTGAGTGACTGAGTGGGTGAGTGACTGAGTGGGTGAGTGACTGAGTGGGTGACTGACTGAGTGAGTAGGTGACTGGGTGAGTGCTGAGTGCGTGAGAGCTCCTCACCTGATCGGAGCGTTGAGCGCAGCCGCTATCCGCTGTCACGTGTCCGATTTTATACAGATTGGAGGACGTGACGTCACCTCAACGTCGTGACGTCACCTCAGCGTGATGACGTCACCTCGACGTCGTGACGTCACCTCAGCGTCGCGACGTCACCTCAGCGTCGCGACGTCACCTCAACGTGCTGACGTCTCTTCAACGTCCTGACGTCACCTCGACGTCCTGACGTCACGTCAACGTCCTGACGTCACGTCAACGTCCTGACGTCACCTCAGCGTGATGACGTCACCTCGACGTCGTGACGTCACCTCGACGTCCTGACGTCACGTCAACGTCCTGACGTCACGTCAACGTCCTGACGTCACGTCAACGTCCTGACGTCACGTCAACGTCCTGACGTCACCTCAGCGTCACCTCAGCGTGCAGACGTCGTGTGTGTCAATGTGTGTGTGTCAATGTGTGTGTGTGTGTCAGTGTGTGTGTCAATGTGTGTGTGGAGAGTTTCCCATACCTGGGCAGTGTGCTTATGACCGGCTCCAGTCTATCAGCAGAGGTCTCACTCCGAATCAGTCGAGCGGCAATATCTTTTCATCGGTTGCGTAACGCTGTGTGGAAGCTACCTGGTCTGTCGCTCCGCACGAAGCTTCAGGTCTTCTCGGCCACGGTCATTCCCTCCCTTCTCTACGCTTGCGAAACGTGGACCCCCCTGGTGGAGCATCTTCGCCGGTTGGAAACATTTAGGCTGGCCTGCCTACGATCCATCCTGGGTTTAACCAGGCTGGATTGTGTGAGGAGCTCACAAATCCTTGAAAGATCTGGGCAAAGTCCCATCAGTGAGCTCCTCCGGCAGGCAAGGCTGCGTTGGCTGGGTCATGTAGCCCGCATGCCCAGCCACCGCATGCCTAAACAGCTTTTGTTCGGCCGGATCGAGGGGGCTAGACGGGCGCGGCACGGGCTGGAGAAGAGATGGAGTGATGTGGTACAGGAGGACGTGGAGCTGAGTGGACTTGCCGATGACTGGTACCAGCGGTGTCAAGATCGGCCTCAGTGGAGGAGGCTCGTGAAGGACGCTACTGGGCAGTTGGAGGCAGTCGCCCTCCAACAACAACGGAGGGCGGAGGAGCGACGCTCACAACAACGAGCGGAGCGCCGGGTGGCTAAAGCACAGCAAGTTGGCACAGTAGGGGGCACAGGTGGTGCATCAGCCAGTCATCTCGGTCATCTCGGTCAGTCGACCCGTGGCACCTGCTGGGTCTGCCCCGTGACCTCGTGCCAGCGGGCTTTCGACACTTCGCGTGGCCTCAAGGTGCACTTGGCCTGGCACAAGCATCGTGGTGACGTCACCGCCACTTAGTGGCGAATGGCGGTTGTTGTTGTTGTTGTTGTGTCAATGTGTGTGTGTGTCAGTGTGTGTGTGTGTCAGTGTGTGTCAATGTGTGTGTGTGTCAGTGTGTGTGTGTGTCAGTGTGTGTGTCAATGTGTGTGTGTGTCAGTGTGTGTGTGTGTCAGTGTGTGTGTCAATGTGTGTGTGTGTCAATGTGTGTGTCAATGTGTGTCAATGTGTGTCAATGTGTGTGTGTCAATGTGTGTGTCAATGTGTGTGTGTGTCAGTGTGTGTGTCAGTGTGTGTGTCAGTGTGTGTGTGTGTCAATGTGTGTGTGTGTCAATGTGTGTGTGTCAATGTGTGTGTGTCAATGTGTGTGTGTCAATGTGTGTGTCAATGTGTGTGTGTCAATGTGTGTGTCAATGTGTGTGTCAATGTGTGTGTCAATGTGTGTGTGTGTCAATGTGTGTGTCAATGTGTGTCATGTGTGTGTGTCAATGTGTGTGTGTGTGTCAGTGTGTGTGTCAATGTGTGTGTGTGTCAGTGTGTGTGTGTGTCAGTGTGTGTGTCAATGTGTGTGTGTGTCAGTGTGTGTGTGTGTCAGTGTGTGTGTCAATGTGTGTGTGTGTCAGTGTGTGTGTGTGTCAGTGTGTGTGTCAATGTGTGTGTGTGTCAATGTGTGTGTCAATGTGTGTCAATGTGTGTCAATGTGTGTGTGTCAATGTGTGTGTCAATGTGTGTGTGTCAATGTGTGTGTGTGTCAGTGTGTGTGTCAGTGTGTGTGTCAGTGTGTGTGTCAATGTGTGTGTGTGTCAATGTGTGTGTGTGTCAATGTGTGTGCGTCAATGTGTGTGTGTCAATGTGTGTGTGTCAATGTGTGTGTGTCAATGTGTGTGTGTCAATGTGTGTGTCAATGTGTGTGTGTGTCAATGTGTGTGTGTCAATGTGTGTGTCAATGTGTGTGTGTCAATGTGTGTGTGTCAATGTGTGTGTGGGGAGCGGTGGTGTAGCGGTTAGCGCGCTGCGCTATGAACCTGGTGACCCGGGTTCGATTCCCGCTCACGGCTAACACCAGTGACGATTATCTGAACCGGTCTCGGGCCTCCCCTAGGTCGACTCAGCCTTAAATGAGTACCTGGTGCGGTGTGTAAACATCGCCACTAGGGAGACAAAGGCGGTCGGGCGTGGTACTGGCCACCCACCCCCTCGTGTACCGTTCCGGCCTTCATAGGTGCTCGCTAACAGCACTTGCCCCAACAGTCTGTTCCAGGCTATATGGGGATCTTTGTCTTTTTTTGTGTCAATGTGTGTGTGTCAATGCGTGTGTGTGTCAATGTGTGTGTCAATGTGTGTGTCAATGTGTGTCAGTGTGTGTGTCAATGTGTGTGTGTGTCAGTGTGTGTGTGTGTCAGTGTGTGTGTCAATGTGTGTGTGTGTCAGTGTGTGTGTGTGTCAGTGTGTGTGTCAATGTTGTGTGTGTCAATGTGTGTGTCAATGTGTGTCAATGTGTGTCAATGTGTGTGTGTCAATGTGTGTGTCAATGTGTGTGTGTGTCAGTGTGTGTGTCAGTGTGTGTGTCAGTGTGTGTGTCAGTGTGTGTGTGTGTCAATGTGTGTGTGTGTCAATGTGTGTGTGTCAATGTGTGTGTGTCAATGTGTGTGTGTCAATGTGTGTGTCAATGTGTGTGTGTCAATGTGTGTGTGTCAATGTGTGTGTCAATGTGTGTGTGTGTCAATGTGTGTGTGTCAATGTGTGTGTCAATGTGTGTGTGTCAATGTGTGTGTGTGTGTCAGTGTGTGTGTCAATGTGTGTGTGTGTCAGTGTGTGTGTGTGTCAGTGTGTGTGTCAATGTGTGTGTGTGTCAGTGTGTGTGTGTGTCAGTGTGTGTGTCAATGTGTGTGTGTGTCAGTGTGTGTGTGTGTCAGTGTGTGTGTCAATGTGTGTGTGTGTCAATGTGTGTGTCAATGTGTGTCAATGTGTGTGTGTCAATGTGTGTGTCAATGTGTGTGTGTCAATGTGTGTGTGTGTCAGTGTGTGTGTCAGTGTGTGTGTCAGTGTGTGTGTCAATGTGTGTGTGTGTCAATGTGTGTGTGTGTCAATGTGTGTGTGTCAATGTGTGTGTGTCAATGTGTGTGTGTCAATGTGTGTGTCAATGTGTGTGTGTCAATGTGTGTGTGTCAATGTGTGTGTCAATGTGTGTGTGTGTCAATGTGTGTGTGTCAATGTGTGTGTCAATGTGTGTGTGTCAATGTGTGTGTGTCAATGTGTGTGTGGGGAGCGGTGGTGTAGCGGTTAGCGCGCTGCGCTATGAACCTGGCGACCCGGGTTCGATTCCCGCTCACGGCTAACACCAGTGACGATTATCTGAACCGGTCTCGGGCCTCCCCTAGGTCGACTCAGCCTTAAATGAGTACCTGGTGCGGTGTGTAAACATCGCCACTAGGGAGACAAAGGCGGTCGGGCGTGGTACTGGCCACCCACCCCCTCGTGTACCGTTCCGGCCTTCATAGGTGCTCGCTAACAGCACTTGCCCCAACAGTCTGTTCCAGGCTATATGGGGATCTTTGTCTTTTTTTGTGTCAATGTGTGTGTGTCAATGCGTGTGTGTGTCAATGTGTGTGTCAATGTGTGTGTCAATGCGTGTGTGTGTCAATGTGTGTGTCAATGCGTGTGTGTGTCAATGTGTGTGTCAATGTGTGTGTGTCAATGCGTGTGTGTGTCAATGTGTGTGTCAATGCGTGTGTGTGTCAATGTGTGTGTCAATGTGTGTGTCAATGTGTGTGTCAATGCGTGTGTGTGTCAATGTGTGTGTCAATGCGTGTGTGTGTCAATGTGTGTGTCAATGTGTGTGTCAATGCGTGTGTGTGTCAATGTGTGTGTCAATGTGTGTGTCAATGTGTGTGTCAATGTGTGTGTCAATGCGTGTGTGTGTCAATGTGTGTGTCAATGTGTGTGTCAATGTGTGTGTCAATGCGTGTGTGTGTCAATGTGTGTGTCAATGTGTGTGTCAATGCGCGTGTGTGTCAATAGTAAGTTCCACACCGACTCCATCTTATAGAGCTAAAGGCAAAACATCCCACTCCCAGTGTAGCCTCAACGGGCTGTTTGAGGGGCAAGTGCGACATGGATGTGGCTTGTGGCTACGACTCTCATACCGCGTCATCCATACGGTGCACAGCTGTTGGAATGCGGGCAAAAAAATATATGAATTGTCTAATGCCTGATGAAGGTGGTTGTAATTACTGGCGAAACGTCGTACTCAGATTGTAAATGTTGTGGCTTGGCTCTCCAACACACCGGTGTGCTGTAGTAGTGTATTACACTATACACTACACTATACACTACTATACACTACACTATACACTACACTATACACTACACTATACACTACTACACTATACACTACTACACGATACACTACACTATACACTACACTATGCACTACACTATACACTACACTATACACTACTACACTATACACTACTACACTATACACTACACTATACACTACACTATACACTACTACACTACACTATGCACTACACTATACACTACACTATACACTACACTATACTATACACTACTATGCACTACACTATAAACTACTATGCACTACACTATACACTACTATACACTACACTATACACTACTACACTATGCACTACACTATACACTACACTATACTCAACACTATACACTACACTATACACTACTATGCACCACACTATAAACTACTATGCACTACAC